ATGATTTTCATTCGTCATGGCCTTTCAAAACCATTATGTCACCAACTCCAGAATATTTTGCAAATAGCAGAAATATGGTTTTTAATTCTCAATTTTAGTTAATTTATTAGGTAATACCAATTCTGTGCGAAGTGCATTTACCATTCTGATAATTCATGATGATAGTATATCATTAGTAACATAGATTGGACGACTACTGATATTCTTTTATAAAGAAATTGTATGTAATTGTTGATTTTAGAGTATTTTTGTCTCGACAGCTGTCTCTCCATGTTTTCAAATAAAGATTTTATGTCTCCTTTTTTCACGCACTATCCTTTTTTCATTTTTCTGGCATTCCATTCAATTTCAGCATAAATTTCACTTTTGGTGGAGCTTAATACATTTTATTTTCATTAGCAGAACCCAATCAATTTTTAGTTTAGGTAAACTGCTTTGACGTTTCAATTTTGGTAATTTGTCGATATGTTGATAGTTGGACCTTTTATTGAAATGAGAACAAAATTAGAATCATTTTCTGAATGGTTAACCTATTGGGTGAGTAGGGATAAAAAGGGGTCAGTGATGGTGATTATTGTAGAAATCGTACGTACCACCGTATTCCTTAGGTCACACAAGTTTCGACTTTCCTTATTTGGTCTCACATTAAATTTTGCAAATTCATATAATTATGTTATTTCTTAATAAATAGTGATAGAAACGATTATTCATAAAAACTGCCTCTATGCAATATCGAAAATTGCTGCATATTTTGCTGCATCAATATCTAAGAAATTGAAAACTTCGGAGGCTTGAAGGTTCGAAAACTATTGGAACAGAACCACGGGATCCAGTCCTGAGACGAAGGTACTCAAATAATTTTTAAGGCGAATATATAAATACTCTTCCATTTATTACCTTGTGTAGCGTTTCCTATGGTTATCTTTTTTAGTTTCTTTAATAAATGTTTGGAGTACAAATTCAAAAATAAAAAGTGATTTTGGTAAACTTATAGAAAATGTAAATTTTGTTACAGTTACTGAAATTAGGAGATAATTTGGAGGAATTCATTACTTTGAACATAGATATGTCTTTTGTTGAAATAAAGAAAATAGTTCTATTGAATGAAGTGGATAATAATCGTAATAATTTTTAACAGTTTTCAGTCTATGAATCTCTCATCATTCGATATAATGTGTTCAACAATTGTAAAAGTTGCATATCTGGAAAAAGTACTCATACATAAAAAATCGAAGAAAAATTGCCCTAATGGTTCAACAAAATTGCAGGCAATGAGTAAGTAGTGAAAATTAGCGACAAAGTCAACGGTCAATATTTTTCTAAAGAATATTTGATACTAGACCTATACTGGCATTTATGAGTCATGAATTCACACTAGCCTTTGACAACAGTTTTGCGAACTCCAACAATACTAACGTTCGAATAAAAGTATCTTCTTGCAACCATACCTAGGTGAATTGGTAGTCTTCCAAGATTTTCCTGAATTATTTAAAGATCTGGTTTCACAAATTCTGGATTGATTTTTATTGCAAAATATAAATCGACTTATTTCAGAGTATTTGCCAAAGGTCCATTGATATAATTCATCTCATGATTCAGGCGATCACTACATACTTATTATTTATATCGAGAAAGGTTAATCAAGCTGCTGGAAAATAATTCCATGCAAATCAAAAGATAAATAGATAAGTACCATTCTGATCACTCCCATATTGATTTCAATCTAAGAGCCACCGGTAGACAGCTGTTTCATCCTATTGGGCATCGTCAGTACCGGGTAGGCGGACCTCCATTGAAGACGAAATGTGAATAACCACGAAAAGTACTCAATAAAAATAACTCATTATGATTTACTTATTATTTTAAATTGCAAAAAAGTTTTTTCCGAACAATAAACTATCCATGAACTATTTATTTTATAATTTTACACCATTTCTATACCATAAACTGAATTGTTCAGCTATCGTGTTCATTTTAGTTTGAAGTTACACCGTGGTCTTGGCACTGGCTACTATAGTTGTATCACCCCCATAGAGGACAATATGTTCAGAACTCGGTTGAAAAGGTATATCATTTATGAATAAAAAAATCAATGGGTCCGAAATAGAGCCCTGAGAAACCCCAAAGATATTTCTTCTTAAACTTGTACATATACTTTTCTTGGCTGTTGATATGCGTATACTATTCCAAGATAGTTTCTCTGAATGCCATGCAATATAATTTTTGTTGGATGATGTCTATGTTAACGACATAGAACGCATTTCTTAGATCAAAAATTAGTTCCCCAACATACTTTTCGCTATCTAAATTCTCATACTGAATTAATTGAAGAAAGAGATCGATGTAGTCTCTGTCGATTTTTCTGGATAAAATCCGTGCTAATGTGAAACGATATTAAATCTGAGCAGAAAACTCAACATTTCTCAATCACTTTGTATATTAGTGATGGTATTGTAATTAGCCTATAATTCCCAAAATCAACAGGATAAGAGTTTTTGTAAACTGATCACCTATCAACCTTCAATTCGAGTTTATTGGACATGTTTTTGAATCTACCGGGTTTTCTTTTAATGATATTCTAAACGAATTCCATTGATTTTTTATTATTATTTAGTGAGAAACAATAATTTTTTCAATTATCTTCCCATCTTCAGTACGTCTTCATTTACTCAACAAATTGTCTCTGAATTCCCTTTGTGTTTTGGTTATCTTTCGGCAAGTTTTGTCAATTATGTTCATAATTTGATATATGAAATAGGTTTTCCTATGTTTCAGGAGGACTGAGTCAAATATTTCCATGGACATATAGGTTTGGTGAATTATTTTCAGAAATATTTCTGATCTGAGTTTTTTTTATGATAATTACTTATCGCCCTAGCAATATCGTTCAAGGGAAAAATTGATCTGAGATGATCTTCAAGATTCATTTCAACGACGCGACGTCTTGTTTATAGTTGTTGGTATTGTTGGTAATGGAATAATCATGAATGAATCGAAGAGTTTTGTATAGAAGTATATAATTATAATTTTGTAGCATGTAAATTTTTGCTACTTCATTTTGTAAATAAATAAAAAAGTTTTAGAGCAACATACATTTCACTCCGTGGTGACCTACCCTTAGCGAACTCGAAAATAACAAACAGATTTGTAAAGTTGGTTGCCTAACCTCATTCATAGAAACCTTTTAAAAATCCCATTGCTATTCTCGAATGTTTTGGTTATGGATAAGTTTCACAAGGAGTGAGTGTAGCCAAGTTAGCTTTAGGGGGTGTCTGAATCCTTAGTGGATATTTCGTTCTACCCATCCTATTATCAACCACAACGTAATGGCTTTTGATAGAGCCCTATATTGAACATTTACGACAATTTGGTGTTTGAATACTTTGTACCACGCCAACGCCTTTTTGCTACAAGATAAAACCCTTCACGGATGGTGAGTTTTCCTACTTTTCTTTTAATTGTTCTCTTGATAGCGACAATATAGGACAGTTTCTAAAAAAAAACATTTATAGGGTTGTTGTACACGGAGTTTTTCAACGTTTTTTACAAATCAAATCTTACAAATGTACTATGTCCTCATTTTTCCATACTTCCTGTTACCTGACGAGTAAGTAATTACCAATTGAAAAAAAATCACAAAAAACTTTCTTTTCAATAAGATTACTTACTTTCAGGTGAGCACTGATGATGACGATGAAAGTCGAAAGCGCTTTGCAATAAGAATTTATAATTATACACTTTTATACAAAACTCTTCGAAACATTCACTCAAATAAGTGTATTCAGCTTCCAAAAACTATACAAAATAATCAATTGTAGTTATACTTTTGCTTCCACTTATGTCACTTCAGATTTTAATTTTCGAAGTTCAACTTATAACTTTCTAAAATATGAATTGAGAGTTTCCCCTCATGTCATGTCTACTATGTAGTTAATGTTCAAATCACCACAGAAAATAACATATTCAAATTCTTTTTTACAGACATCCATCGCCAATGAGAGTCTTTCAATAAATATTTCAATATTACCACTTGGTGGTATATGGTGAAACACAACATTCAAAATACATTTCCTCTGACAAATTTTTTAAAACTTTTCTGAATATATATTGATACACCACCTTGACTATGGCGACTTCTAAAAAAGGAAGAAACTAGCAAATAATTATGTTGAGTAACTGAATTAATATTGTCTTCTGAAAACCATGACAGTGGCACAAAAAATTCGAGGTCGCTTTTTTCGAAGAAGTATTTCGACTTGGTTTGTTTTATTAATCATAGACTGGAATTTAACATGCACTATTTTGAAGTCATACTTCTCAATACATTCACCTCTTTCAAAAAGACCGTTGTTCAATGACATGGGATATTTCGAAGTGTCTAAATGTAAATCATTTAACTGAAACCCTTTCAGCCCAGTAAGAAGGTTAAATTACGTTACGTGATTTTGTCTCAAGTTATTTTTCAATTCTCTGGCTTTGAATAATCAGTAAATATTAAAAATTTAACTCTTGAAATAGACATATATTTTTTCTAAAAACTGGTGGTCCTTGTAGAATATCCTGACTTTCTGTATCATTTCCTATTGTTTTCCCCATAACGCGATCAGAGAAATGAAACTGCTTTGGATATAAGGCCGAAATATTAAAATGCGACACGAAAGAACTATCATGAATTCATTTTGAGGATTTGAAATTATTTCATGAACGTTAATAACTAAGATTATCCTTCCTTTGAATACAGCCACCCTTATAAATACAAGTATGTTGCGCCAGAATTAAGAAAATTATCAAATGAAAAGAAGTCTTTCAGTAACCTTCAGAATTATATGAAATACTTTATTCTCTTGGTTTTGTGAACAAAGAAAATAAGCAGGGTACAAATATTTGCTTGTTTGGGAATAAGCATTGGAGACAGTACATAAGGGCGATACATCTTCCCTTACGAAGACATAATCTATGAGATCGACATAAGACTCATTCCACGAATATCTAAGACAAACGATTCTTCCGTTGCAAAGCCAAGATTCGACAGAGACTGCCGAGATTCGCTCTGTCTTTTATTGCAGCTTTCACTGCCAGCCAATTAGTTGGGACTAGAACCCAAAAATAAAGCATTTGTTTCTTTTTGGGGGTATTTATTCTACTACAATCTGAAAAATGAAAAAGTTAAATCAATAGAGAACATGTTAAGCATAACAAAGGGCAAACTGATAAATTCAGTTCGAAAAGTTACTGCCTAATATAAACCACTAAAAATTCCAATTAGTCAGTAACTCGATGTATTCACACAAATTTTTCCTGCAAATGGAATGAATGGCTGAAAAATAAAATTTTAATACTACGCTCTTTCAAAACTGTTAATGTTTCGGAAAGTCTTTCATTTCCATTCTTAACATCCAAAGAATTTACTTGTTAATACCACCTCAGATAAAAACAAGTTAATTTTCTTTGTCAGACGTCAAACAAATATACACAGTGACTTTTTAGTGTGAACTGTTACCCTTTATGGAACTTTAGTAGATTCCCTTTTTATTTAGCTTGTTGATTTTTCATATTCTAGAAGAAACATTGACTACTCCACAAAATATATCTTTCAAACAATCGAAACATTTGTGGTCCAATATCAGACAATGCTGTTTCGACTCGCCATAGGATCATCAGTGATGCAAGGCCGAACCACGAATGCATTGTTTTTAGACTTCAGTTCCAACTTGCAGTGGAAGTTTCAGAGGCTTACTCGCAGGACTCTGAAAGAACACCTGAACAAAATCGTGCTGTACAACGGATACATCAGCTGTAAACGAAGACGAAGCAAGAAAGGCACAAAAACAGCTCGTCATATTTCATGTGTATGTGAGGAACTGAATTACATAAAGGAAGCAATTTAGGGACAACCTAAATTACATCAAGAAATTAATTACAAATATCCAATAAAAACCTTTACAAACTAGTCCATAAAGCTGCACTACTTCGTTGTACATATCATAGGTGTTATCGATCTCAGATCAGTTTTGATTTTGAAACCTTCAGTAATGATCTCATTAAAATTAATCACTACACTAATCTGGCTATAAAACCCTTCAATAAATAATACCAAATGAAAAATAAATGCGGGATCCCTATTCGCGAGCGATGTATTTATAAATTCTCGTCCGAAAATCCAATAACAAAAGTTCACCGAAGCGCGAGGCGTGGAGGATCTGGGTTTGGTTCGAAAATTCGGCTATTGAGGCATTTAAATCCGGAGCATTTAATTCTTTTCAATCATTCACGAATTCGAAGGTCAAAAGCTTCTAATGGATTTCGTTGGACGGTTGATTGGCAGCCCACTGCTTCGGCTTGATTTTATTCAGATTGATAGACTATTTCTAACAGTATCGCAATGTTGTGAATGCTATATTTTTTTCTTTTCTGAAATGGAAGCGAACTACGTTTTTGAATTCGTTAGAATGAAGTTTTTTATTATCTTCAGTTCGATGTTAAGTTTTTGTGGAGATGCACGAGCACTGCAGGAAAATGGATTCAGGGAATTTATTTCACAACAACCAATGATTTGTTGAGTCTTCGAAATATTCCCTTTGTCCTTACACTCAACGCACATACCATTGATGGTGTCCGCTACAATAGCGGAAGAAACGTTTGATACATTTGATCACGTCCCACCAGCCCGATTTTTTTTACTATAATTAACATATCATCTACTCACACGTACGAATTCGAAGCAGGTCAACTGCAATCGATAAATTCTGAAACTATTGCGCCGACTGAACATATAGGCCAGTCATTTTAGGGGGTTTGCCTAGGAAAGTGGACATACCCAGCTGTAAATTCGTATAAACTTTGTATTTTGGCATCATAAAAGTATTCTCAAAATTCACATATGATTCGACGGCCGCAACTTCAAAAATTGGGGGTCAAGAGTCAAAAAAAACAACTTTTTGCACTTTTTTTGTCAATATCTCGTTTCCAATGGGTTTTATGCTAATTGTATTTATTATCAGTATTGTAGAGAATTAAATTCTCTACAACTTTTGTTTCAAACATTTTTTCATACATTGAATCGTTTTTGAGATAGAGGGCAGCGCGAGCGCAGATTAAATATTATTTGAAATCAACTGGTTGTCCTGATCGAAATCAACTCATTTAAGGTTTATAAATTATTACTTAATGAATAATTATATAACTGCACAGGTTTATTGAGCTTTGTTAGCTTGACATATTGTGCATAACGAAGATTATTGATAGTATCTACAGACTTTGGAGCATTATGAACAGCTAATAATGGTTGCAATCCACTATCAAATAATTTTTGAACCGGGCAGTTTTCTTCTTCAAGTTCATCCAAATTAGATAGTTTCTTAAATGTTCTTAAAAACGTTTTTTCCTTTTTTAAAGAGCGCAGAAGTTGTATCACAGCCGCTTAAAGCGTGAAGGAACAAAATGTGTTTTTTAGAGCTTGAATATTTGTCGAAACTCTTAGAGGAGTATATTTCCGTTTTGACATTTGCTTTTCCAACTTTTCTAAAGAAAATTTCTTGTTCAAGAGAAGAGGTTGCCAGGTATAAATTTTAAAGTTATAAAAGAATTATTTATTAAGTAATAATTTATAAACCTTAAATGAGCTGATTTCGATCGGGACAACCAGTTGATTTCAAATAATATTTAATCTGCGCTCGCGCTACCCTCTATCTGAAAAACGATTCAACGTATGAAAAAATGTTTGAAACAAAAGTTGTAGAGGATTTAATTCTCTTCAATATTGATGATGAATACAATATAATCAATATTGGTCTATTGGAGGCTAGACCTTCGAATGAAAATATTTCATCAGTAGATCCCCCTTCATGCAGAAGACGCTAACTTCGTGTATGTTCAGTGTAACTATCTTCATTCGGTTTTGAAGGCCGTCGTAGTTTGGAACTGCATCCTAACGTTTCGCCAGCACGAGTGGCTGACTTCTTCAGAGGTTAATTCATCTTGATGATTCACCGATTCATGTATGTTACCTGATATGGAAAAAATTAAAATAGAAATAGTTAACAAATATTAAGAACGCTTAGATTTTTGATGTTCTGATCCTATCCTAAATTTTTCTATTCGTAGTTTTGTACTGTATCTTATGAAAACCACTCATGTTCAATTCTAATATACAGTGCAACTATTGGAAATATTTATTGGGGAATTAACTTGTTCTACGATATGTCTATCTAATAAAGTATTTTATTTATTTATTCTCAAAATCTGATCGATTCTAAATGAATGTCACCTTATCTAACATTCCTAGATTTTTTAGAGACATTCCTCTTGTATTTGGATTGCAAGTCTCTGGAGCCTCCTTTCTAATTTTCATATAAATCAGAATCAAAAATCAAAATCAAAAAATCTTTATTTCCGTAGACCTAGGGAAGGTATGGAAAAAGTCACATAACTCAGTACAATTACATATTATATAACATTTAGACCATAAAAGGGATACAAAAATTAAAATTCCAAATCAGACTGAAAAAATTCATCAAGCGAATAAAATACCTTTTCACATAATAGTTTCCGAACTTTTTGTTTAAAGAGCTTTACACCAGTTATTTTTTTAATGGATATTGGGAGCTTGTTGTACAGTTTTATTGACATGATATGAGGTCCATTAGTTACCTTGGCTAACTTATGACTAGGAATTAAAATGTTATAGTTTCTTCTCAGGGTGAAGCCCGAAAGAAGACATGTATCATCATCATAAAATAGGATCTGCTTCAGAGAACATAAAGAGGAGCTTTCATTAAATAATCAATTCCAAAAAAGATTATCTACCCGGATAAACATCTTCACAGATATGTGGCCAGATTTATTAGTTCACAATTCAAATATTTTTTGTTGTATTGAAAACTATTTTTAATATCACTCTCAGGCCTGAAAAATGTCGATTCACCACTAACTGATATTACCTAACTTTTTTGTTTCAAACAAACTCAGTATCCTAATATCTGTGTCTAAAATTTCAAAGCAAAAATGAAATCAGCAAAAATTCATACAATTTCGATTAAAAAGAATTGAAGTAACAAAATTATAGCAGAATATCTCGAGAGGAGCGGTAAATGCAATAATGAAAAGTACAGTGAAGTGGGGAAAATTCGTATCACACGTGATAGATAAGAAATCTCAATGCGAAAAAACATGAGGATTTATCTAAAAATTCTCATGAAAAACAGGGAAGTAAACAATGCCTCCGGTCGACCCGAATCCGGAAAATGGAATCGAAGTTCGGAAAACAAGCATTGATTCAAAACTTCGAATACTTCGAACTCTCGAATCACTTAGAATGAACTAAGTTCATTCATTTCTTATTTCCGTTTGTTGGAAAAGATAGATTCAGAACGTCGGTTTCAAACTTAGTAGTTCTATCGAAGAAAGATGATAGAATCCAGTGCGTATGCAATTTGTGATAACAAATTGCAATAAGATCAGGAAGTTGAATGGATATAAAAACTCCACGACAAATACCGTTTTGCTCTCGTAGTATATATATATATATATATATGGAACAGTCCGAGTGTTATATGAAAAACAAATTTGATAACGGAAGTTTAGGACAATTAGCACAAATAAAAGTCCAATCAATAATGTTTCAGAATGTGAGTGAGTTTCAGTGATTGAACAATAGACCAGCGTTTGGTATGACCTAGTTCCAAGTTAATAACGAAATTAAATGATGAAAAGTCACGTGTCACGTATAGCTAACTTACTTGATGAAACTTTCAGATTGAAGAAATTCAATCCACAATCATGCAACAAAAAATCAAATACATGCAAATGTTGTACAAATATCTGCAGAACTGATAGATATAGGAAATATTTTACAACAAAGTTTAAGCAGAATCACCACTAGCACATTACGTCTGGAATTCATTGAATCCACACATAATATGATAATTAACTTGTATAATCATTACGTATTATTGAACTAGTTTTTTTACATCGTTTCTGATATTTTGTATTTGAAAGGAATATACAAGAAATTAACACTTACATGAAAAGTATTATCCATGAGTCATGACTATTGTCAGACGATCTAGAGCCTTGTGATCTCACGTGAGACGAATACTCTGAATAGAGAATTATGGCAAACTACAATCAAGCCCTCTTTGTGTTACGTAGG